GACTTTTCAGCAAATCGTACTCATATTCTAGCTGTTCCGTTCCATAAAAATCTTTGTACTTCGATAAAATAGTTGTTTTAAGTTCAGCTGGAAATCCACAAGTAGACATTGCTTCCTTGATGACATCAAAACTGGACTTTTTGCAAGTTGACCGAAACTCGCGCCGATTGTGTGCTTGATGGTGCTTCACGATCTCTCGTACTTTCTTCTGGGTATAACTAAGTAAATAGGGTATAATCCAAAAGAGTAGGAAATCAGAGACCTTGTTCGCCCCAATCTTTGGTTCGTCTTCATTTGATCTGGTAGAATTTGCCTTCTTTTTCTTCTTGTCATAGAAAATCAGAAGGATTGAAAACAAAAGAATGTGCGATCCTTTCAAGGGAAATTTTAGTCCGCTATTATGCGGGCAGACTAAATCCTTGTCATCTTGATTTGGTGTATCTTGTGCTGTTGGTGGGTCAATATCCATTTCTTCGTCGGATGAAGTTGGCTCGTGTGACTCTTCACCTTCAGAATCTTGGTTAAAACGCGACAGGTTCAGATATGACATCCAAATTTTAGCTTCTTCGTGACCAATAGCCATGTTTCTCTTTTTGTTCTCGGATCTTTTAGCGTACCCCATGTGAAAGGCGGGTATTTCCGGGATTTGAAACAAAGATGGATCTTTTGAGTCGCAAATGTGTTTTGCCACTCGACTCAATACATCTTTCGCACTTGTATCCTTGAATCCGCCATCTCTCAACTCTAAATCCTCCAAGAGGATAATCGGCGATAGGTGCAATAAATTGTCGCTTTCGTTTGGGCTGCAACAGAAACGGGGTTCAAGGCCGAATTTTTCACTTAGAATCTCTCCATCTAGTTCAACGATTTCCGCTAGCGTACTCATGATCACCGTCAGATCAGTGCAAGGAGGAAACTGAAAAAGGCGCCAAATATTAGTACAAAACCGAAACCTATGTATTACAATTAATAAATGAGAGAGGAATGGTTACAGAAGGAACAGGCTGTGGTTCCCAGGCCTACTAATTTCTCCAAGCTCACCCGTTCCTCAACGTTGCTTAAAAACCCTAAAATTGTTCAAGAGCTGTATCTTGCTTTCCAAAATAACTACAAACCGTAGACCACAATTTTTCTAATTTCTAGTTTGATATTGTATCGCAACCGCGGGAGGGAAATATTTGATTTATTTAAGTGTCGAAGAAATTCTAGTCAAATTTAAAAGACAAATTTCTCATAAGTGAGATCCAGACATCAAAGGAACACTTCTAGCGCATAAATTTGGTAGCAGAAAACTGATTTCAGTCAAGGAGTTACGTCTCCTGCATAATACGCTTTACCGACTGTGTTTTAGTTCCATGAAGTTTTGCTTTTTGAGAGAGAGGAGAATACAAACGGTGCCACGGGGGATCTAAAAACTAAAAGTAATGTTGGTTGCATTTGAATCTAGTTGGTTGGATTTCAAATTGGAAAAAACGTGCGCTGGTGTACTACAGCATTAATGC